CAGCAGAGATCCTGTTAAACTACAATATAGAGCTGCTCCTGGGCGTTTTAAACTTTGTATCCAGAAGACAGCAGGAGAGAAGAGAAGTCATCATCCCGGCAGAAGAAATTGAACCTGATCTCCCAAATGAGGTAAATGTGCTTTTACCGTAAGCGGATAGAGGTATGCGTGTGGAATCCAGGTGATCTACTTTGAAGCCTTGTGGGATTCTTTTGTTCAATTTTAATGGTTAATTGACATGTGCAGCAATCCTAGTTTGAGAAAGTATGATTACCTCGGGCTGACCTGTCAGGAATGAGTATCCGGGTCACGTCACCAGGTAAACTAACAGGACCTCTGGGACTAACTACAGAGATGGGGTTGTAATTTGTCCTCCAAACCTTCCTCTTTCAGAATTTTTCTCAGGGAAAGTGACCCACAGGAATGGGAGAATACTTCCTGAAAACATGTGCAGAGACTCTGAGACATTCGAGATGGACAGTGGTGGTCATGGAAGTGTACCACGCAGATATCCCCTGCAAGATAATCTGCTGCAAGAATAGTTGGCAAATAGCCTCTAGTTGCTACATTTTTGGATGCATCACAGTGTTCATGTAAAGTTCATGCGCCTCCTGGGCTGTCCCTAGCCCAGGAACAGCCTGGGGACAGCAGAGCGACTAGGGCCAGGCAATTCCTGCCTGACACAGCGCTCAGCTGAGAGCCCATCTTTGCTTTTGGATTGTATTGTTCACCCTACCCAAGCTCTCTTTTTTTTCTTCTCTCCTTTCACAGATGTCAGACTTGCATCAGAAACTGGAGGTTTTTCCTGTTCCTGCTCCTCTTTTTTATTCTCTGCAGGTATTTCTCCCAGTAAATCACTTACACATCTAATTCTGTCTTGGAATCTGCTTCTCACAGGATTCAGACTGACATCAGATAATGCCTATGAAAGTTCTCCTTGTGATTAAAACTAAGCACTCTAATATGTTGTAGAAATGGTTTATTTCTTAAACAGCTTTCTAGTAACTCTTAACCATGGAACTGTGAATAATTTGCATGCATATACATTTTCATTATGTGAACACATGGATATAATATTGCATTTATTAATTTGAAATAACAGAAATGTTCATCTATATTTGTCAGATGTCCATAATCTATTATAGAAATATAGAGAAGCAAAATTCCAATATATTATATTATATATTATAAATTATAATTTGTCATACAACATATTTCTTTTCTATTTATAGATATACTTTAAAGGAAGTCATATTCCTTCTGGAATCCACCTCTGATCATTCAAAGGTTAAACAAAAAATAGCCTAAATAGAAATATATGTTTTATATCGTTTTTAATTTTGCCACTGTTGCAGAGCAAGATAAAAAATCGTATTTTTAATTTGGTTAAAATCCTCTTCAGAGGTAGGTACATGTGGGTATTGTTGCAGGTGTACAGAGGGTAGGCCGGTAGGTCTTCTATTGTTTGTTAGCTGAAAACTGCAGTATTCTGTGACATTGAATTAAAATAAGAACACGTCAAATAGGGTAAATTACAGCTAAGTTTCCACTAGTCCGCAATGCAGAAAATACAGGGTGCATTAATAACTTTTGACCTCATTACTTTTGTATTTGTCTAACAAGAATTAAGTATTTAAGTCACTGCTATGGTAACTTTGGATTTACATATTTTTTTAAGATCACACTTTTTTTAGAGATTGTTTTATCTGCTCATAAAAGATATATATTCTAGACATTCGGTTAAGAAAAGAGATGCAAAAAGAATTATTTCTATTCAAGATGAAGTTTGTATCAGGCTAAAAGTTGCTTTATTTAGAAAAAATATGGTGTCCATGTTTGGGTGGCTTTTCCTATGCATACTGTCTTGTCGAGGATTCTTCTCTCAACTGCAGCCCTTGCTGAGTAGCTATGAACAATGAATTATATATAATGTAATATATATACTTTTTTACTTTTACTTTGTGGCTGAAGCCATATCTCTAGTCTTCATTTTTCTCTCTTCAGTTTGTTTTTGGAGTTTCACCTGCCTGCTGGAGTTTCCACCTGAAAGAGCTAATGTTACCTCAAATTCATTCTGTTGTGTAATAAAGAATTTGGCTGGTTTTTGTCTCTGGTCTTTGGGTGGAAGCCTCCAAATCCTTGGATTTCCCATGTGATAGGAGTGTTTGTTATTTATGTTTTATCAGCATAAACACCTGAGTTTATGCTGATGAGACGACTTATGGAGAGCCTCTAGAGAGTTTATGCTGATTAGATGAGTAAAGATGGGTGGTGGCCATGCCAGAAAGTCCTATCATGTGATTACAGGGTTGGGGCTTTGAGCCTTGTGATCTTGGCCTGACTTCTGGCTTAGAAGAAGAAGGAGGTTGAATTTTGAGTTCAACCTTATGGCCAATGAATCAATCGGTCATGCCTACATAATGAAGCTCCAACAACAACTCGATACAATGAAGCTCAGTTCACTTTTCTGGTTGTTGATACACATGGATGTGCCAAGTGGGTGATGCATTCTGGGGACATGGGTGATTCAAGTTTGGAAGCCTCTCAGATCTTGCCCTATGCATTTTTTTATTTGGTTGGTCCTGATTTTCATCCTTTCTAACAAAACTGTAATTCTGAATTTTCTGAAGTGTTGATATAATTTATTGAACTCTGTAAATTGTTCTAGTGAATTTTCAAACCTGAGGGGGTAGTGAGAACCTCAAAAAATATAGCCAGTTGGTCCCAAGTATGGGTGGCCTGGGAACTCCAGACCTGTGACTGGAGTCTCAATTGAGGGCAGTCTTGTGGGGTCTGTGCCCTTAACCTGTGTAATTTGACCTAACTTGGTTTGTTAGTATCTGAACTGCATTGCATATTCTTTAAATCCTGAAGCATAATCCTTTCCCAGAGCCAACAAGCTTACCTACTGAACTTTGTTTCTATTCCCACATTATCAGCCATTCAGTCTAATCCCTTCCCATAAACTTCTTACATGCTTTGTCTTCAGTTCATGTTCAATGCTACATGTGTAACCTTTGTTTTTTGTTTTTTTTTTTTACCTGGGCTGTCCCAATACTACTTAAACTGGCTCATCTTCACTGTAATCTATTCTGTATTTCCCAGTGAAGTTCATCTTCCTCACACTCTTCAAACTCAAATATCTTTTTTCAGAGATGTCTAGCTAGTACCCACTGCAACATCTCTCAAGTAGCAGGCACACGTGTATATGTTAAATAAATATCTCCCTGTTGTCCAAACTCCACAGCTGCAGGGGAGCCTGCAATTGTCTCCTAGGTACCCCTTCAACCTCATCTTCTCTTACTTATGTAAATGAATCCTGTATTCCAAACCAATTACTTTACTTGTCACTTTGCTTACTCTTAAACACTATGGATCCATCCCCTCTCCACTGACCAACCAGTGCCTGTCGAAAAGGCTCTGTCTCCCTTTGTACTAAGTTCCATCCCTGCTGTGTGTCTTTTTAGATTTCTCCATTCCTTAGGGATAGCTCTCACTTCTGAATTTCTGTAGTATTTATTGTATGCATACTTCCATACTGTATGTGTTGTGTTGTATGTGGTTATCAATTGGCTACTAGTCTAAACCACACAGGATTTGGGTTATTTTCTATTATTGCAGGTTATTTTGTAAAACTACACCATGGACTTACAAAAACAGGCAAATATAACTTCTTGTGATATCAAGGACATATGTAATAGACGTGAAAGTTTTTCAGTTTTGCTATAGAGTTTCTCTTGTCTAATTAGTACAATCAGTCAAGTCTGAACTGTTAAAAACAATGAAGGTGAGAAAAATATTTTAGCTACTAATTCTTAATATATTCTAATCAACTCAATAATTTAAATGTCCTTGAAATTGTAGAGATAGCATTGTCCATATTGTCCTGCTGATAGCCACAATTACAGAGAAATTCATTTGCTGTTCTTCATTAGGGCATGTGTGATTTTTCACTTACTTGCTGTAATCTAAACTTTTCTCACTTGAATGCCCAGATAACAAAGGCTCACTTCTCCCACTGTAGAACCAAACAAAACTGCGCCTTTAAGTATAATAAGGTGACCCTTTCTCTTTCTCAACAGAAAAGGAATCATGTCCCAAACATCATTTAAGCAACACAACATATTCAGGCAGCTTTGCATCTATAATTTGGCATATATTCTTACACTACCATATGCCCATATATAATTGAAGACTAAATATTAGCATTCAATTTTTTTCATTTTGTAGTAAAGAGAAGAAAAATAAGACTTCAGTGTCACTAGTCAGAAAAGATACGCAATTCAGCATTCACTTAATAGAGACATACCTTGTGTAGAAATGGCCCCAGTTTGAGAAAACACAACTTTTTAAAGAAAGATAAAGCCCTAGAAGTGATTGCAGGGAATTTACTAAGCTTTTTGGGCAAATGGGTTCTGCAGCATTAGGGCAGCACTGTTTTAGAGTTGTATATGTTCTGAACCTGAATGATCAATCATACTACTGAAAAACTATAATGTTATGAAGCTGAATTTTAAAGTGTAGAATACTTAATCTGTGAATAGAGATGAATGTGCTTGAAAATAAAGATGAAGTGAATAGTGAAAATTTACTTCTCTGCAAAGCTTTCTCTGATAAATTTCAAATTTCTTTGTAAGAGTCCACATTATTTTTACTTACTGTCAATGAAAATATATTTTACAGATCTTGCTTTGTCAAATATAATCTTGTAGTTGTTCTATATTCCTACACCTGAGTTAATGATTTCTCTCAAATAGTAATGTCAACAATTTACAGGTTTGTGGGTCAATACACATTTTAAAATGTCCAGTAGGAAATTTTTAAATTAATTTCTATCAATTCAAAGGGATAGCAAAACTATGTGCTGATATAATAGTCTATAAAATGACATGGTGACTGAAAAATTCAATTACTTTTACTGTTATTCTTGCCTCTTGAGTTAGTTAAGCTTTATATTAAGCTAATGAGAAATGAGACTAGTAGAAAGAAATACAAAAAAGTACATATTTTAAACCCTTCTTTATTATCCAGTTTTACAGATGTGTGATAAGGTTTGGTAACTGAAGACTATCGTTGGATCAAAGTTGACTTTGGGAGTGAGCCCATGAACATTTTTTGCAGGTAGAGCAAAAGTAAACGCGAATGGCTGCATTTTGGTGAAGGCCCCCAGCAGCAACCCCTGAAGGTTTTAATGTCTTCCATGGTGAACAGGATTGTATTTGGAGGAAAGTATCTGTAACCAAACGAGACACACATGGATTCAGAAAGGCTTCCTAGGAAACGTCTCACATGCAATCAAGCATTGTGTTATGGCAACAGTGAGTTGTATGCTTACAGAACAGAAATTCCCAAATGATGCCTGAAACAAGGAGGTGTAGAATAGCTACCAAAAAAGTGAGGTTTCTTAGGGGTCTTCGGACACTGAGCCAGAGAAGAGAGTGGCCTGGAAACAGTGCCAACAGTTTTGAGCAGGGAACGGATTTCATCACATTGCCAAGGGAGGGGAGCTTGGGCTCTAGATATGGGGACATAAACTGTCCCAAAGATGACATTTTGGAGTTTGGTGCATATTTTTAATTCTGAATTGAATAGGGAACTGTTATATCAGGATTCTGCATACACTGTCCATTTGTCTCTTTGTATTCTGTGGTTTTTTAGACTCTTCAGTGAGAGGCAGGATTGCTTTGGAAACAAATTGCTTTGTCTCAGCCTGGGATTCTCAAGTAACACCTCTGTCTTTCTTTGAAGAATATCTGATCTTTTTCAAGGAAATTAAATTTGATCCAAATTTTGGAAGTGGGAAGGAACATAAAGAAAGATAAAAGGGAGAGGCAACCATTTACTTAGAAGAGACACATCACTAAGTTTTTGGCATCAGGACCAGCAACACAATACTTATTCAGGACATGCCATCATTTTAAACAATCAGTTTATGAGTACCTCTTACATGCTAATATAATGTTAGATATTGGAGCTATAAAGACAAATAGGTTCCTTCTGCCCTAAGGAAACTTATATCTTTATAGGGGACACAGTTGAGTAAGCAAAAAAAAAAAAAAAAAAAAAAAAAACACACAATACAGTGTGTTACATTTTCTGGTAAGTTTGCTGGAGGTACTTTGGGAGGGGGAATATCTAACCCACTTCAGGAGCAAGGGGAAAGGGTTAGAAAATATTTTCAAAGAAGTAGTGGCTGAAGTAAGTCTATATATCAAATACGTCTTTGTGAGTGTTTGTCTAAAGGGCTATCTGTTGAATTGTGACAAGTAATTATAGCAGTGGTACTCAGAGATGAGTTAGTATTGTGTCTTGAATGTCCACCAGAGAATTCTGACTTGATAGAAATAGGAGGTCATTTAAATTTTTAAGCTGGGAGCAACAATAAGGCAGAAATTCTTCTAAAGCTTTCTGTCCGTAGATCAATCAGATGGAAAGGGGATTGGAGGTGGAGATGTAAGTTAGTTATTTTGTTAAACAACTTGACTGTGGGGCAATGGAAACCAACCTGAATCTAGGAGGGTGGTTATGGGGAAAACACAAATCGTCTGAATGTCAGTCTGGATTCTGAGTTTGTCTCCAGTGGCTTTTCCGTAGGAATGGTCATTTCATCCAAACTGGAGGAGAGAAGAAAACTATAAATCAATCAGCAAGAGCATCCAACTGATAACTGGTTCAAAGACTATCTGTGAAACTCTTTTGAGATGTAAATATAGATTTTGAAAGAGACATGAGAATAAACACAAACAGCAAAGAAGGTAAAAGTTGGTTCCTAGATGAAGGTACTGGTGTCCACTTACATGCCCTTTATCCTTTTGTTTAACATTGCTTCTGCTACTGTTTTTTCATCATTATGAAAATTTCTTAAAAGAAGATAGGAATGACTATGTGAAAGAATTGGCACCAAGTATTATGAATATGGCCAACAGAAACTTGTGGTCAAAATAAATTTTGATATACCTAAATGTTATTTGATACCAAATGATCTTTAGAAGAAAGTGATATGTGATACTTTAGAAGAAAGTCCTAGTATGAGAATTTAGCAAACTCAAAATAATTTATCATGATAAATATCAGTGCAGTAAAGGAGGAAGAAAACACTTAAGGAGCCTTTATACTTCATGCATTGTACTACGCGTTTTACTAGAATAAAAATACTTGATGAATTAGAATGTGCACAGATCATATTTTATTATCTTGGTTGAGAAGTTTAGTAGAATACATTAGTTCATCCTAACAAATAAGATTACAGCATAAACAATTTTGAAAAATAATTTAGAAATCTAAAAGTAAAAGTTCATATGAAATTTAAAACTTTTAGGTCATTGATTGTGAATGGCATATTCTTGATTATACATATTTTCTACCTTTGTTTATATGTAATTCTGTTGTTGCCTATGCTTTAGGTCAATCCCTATGAAAATGGTTAATTTTCATCGCTCTGTTGGTTGAAGCTACTTCTTCTGGCAGGGTCACTGCACATTTTCTCAGGGGTGGTTCACCTCAAATTCATTGCTGCCACAGGAAAATTAACAAAGCAGATATCCTACTGATCTCAGGTCACAATAATAGTTTTCCCATACATGAAGGGCAGTGTGCAATTACACAAATATAAATGAAAATTAATATTCTCTTTGTTTAAACATTCTAATTTATCTCTCAGTTATCTTTTTTGAAGTATTCATGTTTTGAGGTTAAAAAAAGAACTGAGTAAAAGCCTACTTATAACAAAATAAATTACCCTTTGATATCCAGTGCAGCAACCTAGTATTTGAGAAAAACAGAACTCCACAAAGGCTTAATATATTCAGAATTTGACAAAGTGTGACCCATTTGCAGAAGCAGAAAATACACCACAGGTATCTTAGTGTTTCTTATTTTTCTTCCAAAAGCAGATAAATCATATTTACCAGCCAAAGAAAAGAACTGTTTCCAAACTTACTTGTTTAGAGAAAAATAAGAGAAACAGGGGGGAAAAAATACAATAATTTTGACTCGGAAAGATACTCTCAAAATACGAAATGTGGAGGGCTTTAAAAGATCTCATAAGAATGGCAAAATATGGGAAGTATTTGATGAACTTATTTTAAAAATAATCATTGCTATAGATGCCTACAGGCCCTTTACACGCTGTGAGGATATTGAATGATTTATAGATGCCACATGTTCACACTGCCATTTTTTATAGGTAATTTCTAAGATTTTTGTCAGAAGTTTAAAATATACTGGAAAAAGAATAAACAACATTAAAATACAAACTCTGCAATCTGGCTTAGGTATTCTCCTAAGTGCTCATATTTATAATAGCACTTTTTCGATTTTTCTGCATGTGCCATTTTAATTTTTTCTCTTTTAAGAGAACATCAACTCCTTCAACATAGGGGAACTCTGTCTTGCACATCCCCCTGTGCCCAGTCCCTTGTACTGCACTTAACACATGATGTATCCACACGTTTGCCAAATATAAGAATGAGTAAACAAGCACCGGAGCCCAAGGGCAATTCTTTATGGAAAAGAGTATATCTTAATATATAGATTGAGATACCTTTATATTACTCAAGCATTGAAAATAGATCCATATGTTCACTGATTATGTTTCAGTCTTCCAGACGTCCTCTCAAAAAGGACTTACATAATACTCATTTATGTCATTTAAGTTTTATAAAGTACCAAAATAGCATGCCCTTGTAATTAACACTGTAATTAATATTTCCTTAAAAATTCTAAGTGGTGAACATTATGTTGATGAACTGGGACAATGACGGAGATGTCATTTCTTAACCACATTTTTGGAATTCACACTGAGCTATGCTTTAAGTCTAAGTCAGAGTTGGGACTAAAATTGTTTTTGTTTTTTACTTACTTCAATAAAAATTTAAAATGATATAGAAGGATTTAAAAAGGCTTTCAAAACTGCATTTAAAAATACAGTTCCTTTATTTGTTGACAATCACTCCCAGTGGCCTGGTCAGACAGATCGGATGTGGCTAGAATGACTTGTGTCCACAATGCTGCAGATCAAATTAAAAAAAAAAAAAAAAGTTGGAAATGGCTTTTGGAACTCTTGGAAACCACTTCCAGTCTAAAGCCACAAGGGCAGAAATAATCAATAATGGTAGCCATTTGGTTTCATTCACTTCTTTTAATGAACATGCCCACAACTCACTTAAAGCATTCTAACTGGACTGGGATGGATTTCAATTCTCTGGTGACTGACAAAAATAGAGCCTTTGACAAAACCTGTGGGGTTGCATTGCTCTCCACTCTTTCCCTGTCCTAATAGACAGTGGTGGTGTTTAACTCCGAAAATTGCCATCTTGGTAGCGACTGACAAACAGTTGATCTGTAACTATTAGCTAAATTCTCCGTGATTTTTTATTCAATTTATTTTAGGAAAGCATCTATAAACTGTAGAGCAGTTTCAAATATGTAAAATCTGTAAATGCAGGCATAAAGGTCTCAAGAAAAAATGGGCTCACAGCTGATTTAATCAGTGTATTAATATTCAGTAGGATAATTTCCATTTCTGTAGTCTCTGCTCTAGTTCAAGTAAGCATTAATTTGTATCTAATAAAGTGTCATTAATACTGTGGATACTTAAAAATTGCTTTTGATAAATGAACAACATCTGGCTTATTGCAGCAGCCTCTTAACTTGTCTTACTTTATTTAAGTTCCTTCCAATTATTATCTATTTTATAGCTAACTGCCAAAAAAAGAATTCTTCTTGTAATTTTCCACCATAGGTAATTTCTTGCTTACGAAACTAGTTTTCTTTTTTTAACAAAATCAAAATTCCTGTGCTTGAGATGAAATTTTCTCCATCAATTTTCCTAGGTTTTCATTTCTTACTATCTAATCTCATTAATTCATTGCATCAGCATTTTTCAAAAAGTACATTTTAATTTTTTGATGACTACTAAATATAGTCATCATTTTAAAAATGCAGTTTAAGAATTTCTGAAATAAGTATACCAGCCCACTGGTAAACAAAGAATAGAAGGTCTCTATGATTTCAGAAAATGCCCTTTTCTCATATCCAAGTCATTTCTCATATCCAAGTCATTCTTGGGCAAGAATGGGAGAAGATGTGAAGATAAAAGGGAAGTGATGATTGGTCTGTCTCTTTGTCAGTTGCTTCTTTTTCTCCCTAATTTTAAAACCATTATGTCTGCACATGAGAGGATTTAGTGTTCAAAGGGATAATAAATCTTTTCAGAGGGAGTGGACAGTATAGTTACTGACCAAGTGTAAATTTACTTAAGTGCACATTTAGGGGCTTCTCAGGGGTTCTAGTATTATGGTTGCATATCACCCGAAATTGAATTTTGTCCTGCCCTAATGTTTCATGTAGCAAAGGGGGAAATGAAGATAAACTGAAATGAATGAATAAATCTAGGCTTTTTAATAATTATTTTTCTTCAACAAGATAATTCAACTTAAATCTCAAGGCCTGGAATAGAAAAAGTGTTCTTTACATACCTATGCTCCATGTTGAGGTTCCCATCACACAAACAAACTTTCAAAACTTGTCAAATAAAAATAATTATTAAAAAGCCTAGATTCATAGTTTCTAGGTCACTGGAGATTTATTATTGAAAATGATAACATCTTTTCATTTACCGTTCTAATTCATCAGTTACAACTTTCCACTTCATGGAGTCCCAGAGAATCTGAGTACATCTCTCAATCAGCTCTAGCATCAGGTATCAACTGTATTACAAGAAAACAATCCCAACAACAATTTCCAAGATCAAACATAGAAGAAAATTATAGTTAACTTTTTAACTTGTCTTCCTTTCTTATCCTATGCTGGGAAATATGTTTCCTACAATATTCCCCAGTTTCTTCCAAATTATGTTTTTAATGGATTCCTATACCTAAAATGAACTTTTTTTGTATGGTCAAATCATTCTGCTCAGAACTGCCATTATAACATTTTGAAAATGATTCTTTATTCATTTCATTTACATGTTCAAGTGACATCTCTGCAAAATGAGAAACATCCTCTTTACATTCAAGAACCTCCATAATTTGATTTCTATTTACTGTATCAGTTTTTATTTACTAATCACTTCTAAAACTCTGAATTCTATGACTCCTGAACATAATTTATACTTATTAATTTGTCTCCCCATCTAGAGTTTAACCACCTTCTCTGTTCCTGAAATGCTCTCCTCTTCTCAACCTACTCATACTAGTCCTCATACCTTTATGGACTTTCCTTGATTCCTCAAATGGAGGCTATTTTCATTAACAAAATGTATATAGGACTTTCCATCTAATCTTGTGGCTCAATACGGCATGCAATTTTGTACTCAGCTCCCAGGGGACATTTGGCAATGTCTGGAGGCATTTTTGGTTGTCACAACTGGGGAGATGCTATTGGCATCTAATGGATAGAGGTCAGAGATGCTGCTAAATACTCCACAATATATAGGATGGCTCTCCACCATTAAGAAGTATCTGATTCAAAATGTCAATAGTGTTGCTGTTGAAAAATCCTAACCTAATTCAATCTTACACCTCTATTTCAAACCTGCCTATAATTTTACTTCTATATGTATGTGTTAATCATCTGTACTAGAATACAAGTCTTTGAAATACTAGGACCACATCTCATGCACAATTTTATTTCTTCAAAAGGCCTAGCACAAAGGCTGGTATATGTGTGGACACTCAAAAATGTTTAAAAAACCTATGTGACATAGAATATCTAGATCACCATTTATTGAATAAACATACAAGAAGAAAACACTTACCAATAAAGCTCCATTATGTTCAACATACACTTTCTTTGATGACTTTGATAATTCAGTTGTCATTTGAGGATCTTTAAATAGTAAAAATCAATTAGCATTATTCTAGTAAAGAGAGAACTTATAGTTGAACATATATATTTATAGCTAATAAGCAGAAAAACAGATTATTTTATAAACTTCACTATATTTTTAAAACAGATGAAAAGTTTCGAGTTTGAGGTTTGCAGAGCTAATATATCTATCTTTAATAGAGTTATCTTCTGCCTCTCCTATGTTAAATGTGTTGAGCAGTTGTTGTTGTCTTAATGTGCTACAAACAACTAATCCTTGCTTTATGAAGGTCTCTCAGCTGCTGTACAGTAGGTGCTGGTTAAATCAGCTCCAATTTGTTTGCATTCCTCTAAGTGGAGCATCTAGCTGTTAGGCAAAATAAAACATTAAATTATCTTGCCAATTTGCTATAAATATTTGAAAATGATTGCTATTGGAATACATAAACAGTTTTTTAAGTTCCCTTATGAAATGAGCTGATGCATTTTGGTTACTAATTAAATATCTATGTTTATAGAATGTCCTACAGTCTCCCATATATGGAAAAATGAATATAGCTTAGTGGCTGCCTGTTCTAGAGGACAATGTTCAAGCTATTTAGCTTGCCATTCAATATCTTCCCAAAGCTGTCCCCTACTTATCTTTTAGGCATATCTCTTTCATAAATATTCTGCTTCTGCTGAATTATTTTACTTATAATTTCTTGAATACATTTCTCACTTTCCACACCTCTAATATTTATGTCTTTTTCCCTCTTAAAATCTATAGAATGAGCATTTTTCTATCACAGGTTGAGCTTTCTCTTTTTACCCTTCTCCCAATCCAAATTCCTCTTGAATTGCTGATCACTGTAACTCATCCATCTCACATGCTAACTCTTCCAAAATGGCCGCCCGTCATCTTTCAAACCATACTTCTGCTTTTGAAATGATAGTCCCTGTACTACTTAATTAAGCTATGCTGCCATGTTGTTGTCATTATATTTATGCATTTTTATTTTTCATTTTCCTCAGATGGTAAAGTCTTGGGGGTAGGGACCGTGATTTACAGACATCTTTGAATCACACTCAGCACCTAGTAGTACACTGTCCTGTACATAGTAATTGTTCATTATACAGTAGTTAAATAAATGTTGAATGAGTTATGATTTTGCATTAGAACTAGAAAATGGTGTGACAACCTGGTTATAAAACATAAAACAAAGTGTTTTTCTGATAGATATAATAACCAAATAATCAAACCATAATATATACAAATATAGTAACCAAAAGTGATGTGTGGACCTTGTTTGGATTTTGATTTGAACAAACTAACTGTAAATGGGTATTTGTGGCACAACTGGTGAAATGCATAACAGATGATACTAAGAATCTATGGTATGAGAAAGGCATGCTCATTATGTCAAAATAGTTATCAGTTAGAGATGCACACTGAATAACTTTCAAATAACAAGTTTGATATTTGCTTTAAAATATTAGATAAAATGTATGAGAAATAATTAAAAAAAAACTTGGCAGCATTGGTCAAAATATTGATAATTATTGAAGCAGAGTAAAGAGTACATGGTATACATTATACTATACCTCTGTAGTTTAATGTAGGTCTAAATATTTCCATAAAAGGTTTAAATATACATAAAGGAAAATGCCATAGAATAATCTTTCAGTCATTCATATAGTAGGAAAGTAATTATTAAGTTATTTAAGACACTGACTATAAGAGATTCTATGATTTGAATACATTTTCATTTTACAGTGTGTAACCCAACACCTAAGACCAATTCAAATACAAAAACATTCCACTGGTTGCTTAATGTCCTACTCCCTTGTATACCACCCAAGGCTATTGAATGCTTAGTGAGTCTGGCTTTTCACTGTTCTCTAAGGACCTATCACTGTTACTCATAACTGTCTGGCTTAAGAAGGTTGGAGTCAACACAATAGATAGTTACTGACTGAAAAGGATTTACTCTTTTATCCTGAGAATGACCAACAGCCCTGTAAAAGGCAGAACACTTCTTTATCTTTATTAGCTGAACTGGATCCATTCATCTTCAACATCACAGAAGAAAAATGATGTGATGAAAACCTTTCTTGAATAGACATACCAGGGATCAGGTAAGAAATTTTGGACATGGCCAAGTAGCAAACAATAAAGAAAGATGGCATTCAAAGGCAGAAAACATATGAATTGGTGATTTGAACTTCAGACTTACAGTCTTTCAGTTTTGTCGCCACTTTCTTAGACAAACTCCTCTTTATTACTCCTTCCATTGATCTGAAGCCTCTAACCTTGGTTATCTGTTAGCATGCTCAAAACCACCCCCACAAAAGCATAAAACCTAAGTCATATTCTTGTGCATGCTATGGGAACACAACCTCCAAAGAAGTGCTCTGCCTTCTCAGTTTTCAATCACCATTAAGCTCTTCCCTCCATTGTCAGAGATGCACCTCCACTTTCCTATGGATTACTTAAATAACTTCTGTATTGGTCTCTTGTTTCCAATATTTTCTCTCTGCAACACACATAATGGAATGCTTTTAGGTTAGGCTTCCTAAAATACAGCACTTACCATGCCACTCTCATATTCAAAAGCTTCCACTGGCTCACCATTGCCTGTTAAATAAAGCACATTCCCGTTCACTCAGTATTTCAGACCTCACAAATCTGTCTAAAGTCTACACTCTAATCTTGACTTTCTTTAAGCAACTTGAAACTGTAAACCAACTGAACTAGTTGCAGGTCCCTGAAAATACTCTGTACTTTGGGGTCTCCATTCTTTCCTCCTGTTAGTTAAAGCATCTCTTTTTAAACATTTCCACTCAAGGTACCCTCCAATTCTTCATTTCATCATCCCTTAGCATGTAACCTTGTCAGAATTAGCCTCTTACTCTGTAAGAATCTATAGCTCTTCATGTGTATCTTTCTTAGATATTTCTCTCACTAGTATTATAATATGTTATGAGCTTCATTTCTCTGGTCAACCATAAGCGCTTTGAAAACACAACTGCTTTATTTCATCTTTGTATCTCTAGTCTCTGGCACAGTGGTCTGTACTTACAATATGTTTAATAGACATTGGTTAAAGGGCTGATAGAATATTAAAAGTTCTATGCAAAGATAGAGATAGAGGTCAAGCAGTGCTTTCACAAATTGAAACATCATGATATTTAAATTCTAGTTATGAAATAAATTATTGTCATTCAATTAGGGCAGTGCTGGAAATTGGATTAAGTACATTCTTTGTTTTTTCACCTTTAGTCCTCTCAATTCTATAATTTTAGAGATGAGGGAACTGAGATTTGGAGAGATGAGGTAGCTTGTTTGTATGCGGTCTGAGATTCCCTTTCTAATTATACTATTAACATGTCTATGGAGCTCCAGAGTTTTGATGACATACCACGAGGGACACCTCAAACTAAAACAGACAATAATCTCACTTCCCATTCCCTACTTCTGTAACAGAAAAATTTGTTTTCTTTGTTCTGTATAGTAAAATTTTATTTTTTATTTTTACCTTGAATACCTGGAAGATAGGACATTCACTTTTTTATTTGCCATTATATCCTCTATTACCTTTGTCTTATACCGGATAATTTTACATACTTAAATTATTTACTTGAATGTACTGAAATATATAACTCTTCACTTAATGTACTAAGAATGATTTTAAGGCCGGGCGCTGTAGCTCACACCTACAATCCCAGCACTTTTGGAGTCCAAGGTGGGGGGATTGCTTGAGCCCAGGAGTTCAAGACAAGCCTGGGCAACAAGGTGAAACTCTGTCTCTATATTTAAAAAAAATAAAGTTAGCCTGGCATGGTGGAGTATGCCTGTGGTCCCAGCTACTGGGGAGGCTGAGGTGGGAGGATGTCTTGAGCCTGGGAGGCAGAGGTTGCAGTGAGCTGAGATCACACCAATGTACTCCAGCCTGGGTGACAGACTGAGACTCCACCTCAAAAAAAAGAAGAAGAAATTTTAAATAAAAATTTAGGTTACATTTACTTCCACAAAGCAGACACATCATGAGCCTAGGCGCCTATTTAAATAATGCCATCGTGTTCCAACAAATATGTTCTAATCCACTTTTGGAACTGTTCTAAGAATCAATATATGTCTCATAAGAAAATACATTTTATTACTTTATAGTCTAAATTCCTACTTGTCCCAAATAGTTTTGGTTCTTTAAAGAAATGTTTTCCACCCTGAAAGGATAAAACCATTGTGAGAATACTTAAAATGTGATGTTAAAATCCAATGCCAAAAATGACATTTTAAAATTATTTTGGGAGATGCAAGGCTCACAAAGTCGGCCACTTAAAAGAGAGCTTGAGTGTGCAAATGCTGATATGTGTGCATGTGTACATATATATATTATGGTATGTACATATATTTTGATATGTATGTTCTGATATGTATATACATATACTGATATGTATATACATATGTACACACTGTATATTTTTATTTCCCTAGTTATAGCTTATATCAGAAATATCAAGCAAATTCTGTATATAAAAAAATTCAAAAAGATTCAAAATGAAAAATTTCTTCTGGGAATGAGAAAGAAAATTTTTTATGACAAAATTTAGCAACCTTTCATGTTAAAAACTCTCAATAAACTAGGTATTGAATGAACATACCTCAGAATAACAAGAGCCATCTATGATGAACCCACAACCAACATCATACAGAAGGGGCAAAAGCTGGAAGCATTCCCTTTGAAAACAGGCATAAGACAAGGATACACTCTCTCACCACTCTATTCAACACATTGGAAACCCTGGCCAAGCAATCAGGCGAGAGAAAGAAATAAAGGGCATCCGGCCGGGCGCGGTGGCTCAAGCCTGTAATCCCAGCACTTTGGGAGGCCGAGACGGGCGGATCACGAGGTCAGGAGATTGAGACCATCCTGGCTAACACGGTGAAACCCCCTCTCTACTAAAAAATACAAAAAACTAGCTGGGCTAGGTGGCGGGCGCCTGTAGTCCCAGCTACTCGGGAGGCTGAGGCAGGAGAATGGCGTGAACCCGGGAGGCGGGGCTTGCAGTGAGCTGAGATCAGGCCACTGCACTCCAGCCTGGGTGACACAGCGAGACTCCGTCTCAAAAAAAAAAAAAAAAGAAATGTAGGGCATTCAAATAGGAAGAGAGGAAGTCAAACTATCCCTGTTTGCAGACAACATAATTCTACCTCTAGAAAACCCCATAACTTAAGCCCCAAATCTCCTTGATCTGAAAAACAACTTCAGCAAAGTTTCAGGATACAAAATCAATGTACAAAATTCAATTCCTATACACCCTAACAGCAGCTAAGCCAAGAGCCAAATCAATAACACAATCCCATTCATAATAGCCACACACACAAAAAAATACCTAGGAATACAGCCTACTAGGGAGGTGAAAGATCTCTACAATGAGAATTACAAAACACTGCTCAAAGAAATCAGAGATAATGAAAAGAAATGAAAACATTCCATGCTCATGGATAGGAAGAATCAATATCATTAAGATGGTCATACTGCCAAAAGCAAATTACAGATTCAATGCTATTTCTATCAAACTACCAATGACATTCTTCACACGAGTACTAAAATTATTTTAAAATTTATATGGAACCAAAAAAAAAAAAAAAAAAAAAAAAAACCCCAAATAGCCAAGGCAATCATAAGCAAAAAGAACAAAGCTGGAGGCATCATGTTACCTGACTTCAAACTATACTACAGGGATATAGTAACCAAAACAGCATGGTACTGGTATGAAAGCAGACACATAGACCAATGGCACAGCATAGAGAGACTAGAAATAAGGCCACACACCTACAGCCATCTATTCTGACAAAGCCAACAAAAACAAGCAATGGGGAAAGGACTCCCAATTCAAAAATGGTGCTGGGATAACTGGGTAGCCGTATCCCAGATGATTGAAACTGAATCCCTTTGTTACACCATATATATATAAAAAATCAACTAACAATGGATGAAAGACTTAAATGTAAAACCTCAAATTATAAAAACCCTGGAAGACAACTTAGGCAATATCATTGTGGACACAGAAATTGGCAAACATTTCACGAAAAAGACCCTAAAAGCAATAGCAATAAAAGCAAAAATTGACAAATGGAATCTAATTAAACTTAAGAGTTTCTGTACAGCAAAAGAAACTATCAACAGAGTAAACACAATCTACAGAATGAGAGAAAGTATTTACAAACTGTGCATCTGACCAAGGTCTAATATCCAGAAATTACAAGGAACTTTAAGCAAATTTACAAGAAACAAAAACAACCCCATTAAAAAGTAGGCAAAAGACATGAACAGACATTTTCTAAAGAAGACATACATGTGGCCAACAAGCATATGAATAAAAGCTCAATATCACTAATCATTAGAGAAGTGCAAATCAAAATAATAATGAGATACCATCTCACACCAGTCAGGATGGCTATTACTAAAAAGTCAAAAAATAACAGGTGCTGGCAAGGTTGTGGAGAAAAGGGAATACTTATATACTACTTGTGGGAGTGTAAATTAGTTCAACCACTGTGGAAAGCAGTGTGGTGATTTCTCAAAGAGCTAAAAACAATTACTGTTTAACCTAACAATCTCAATACTGGGTGTATACTCAAAGGAATAAAAATTATTCTACCATGAAGACACATGCATGCCAACATTCTTTGTAGCACTATTCACAATAGCAACGGAATCAACCTAAATGCCCATCAATGAAAAACTGAATAAAGAAAATGTGGAACATATACACCATGGAATGCTACACAGCCATAAAAAAGATGAGATCATGTCCTATGAAGGAACATGGATGGAGTTGGAGGCCACCATACTTAGCAAACTAATGCAGAAACAAAATGAAATATCTCATGTTCTCACTTGTAAGTAGGAGCTAAATAATGAGAACACATGGACACATAGGATGGAAAAAAAACACACTGGGGCCTATCAGAGGGTGGGGGATGGGAGAAGGAAGAGGATCAGGAAACATAACTATTGGCTACTAGGCTTAGCACCTGAATGATAAAAAAAATCTGTACAACAAACCCTTGCAAGATGAGTTTACTTACATAAGAAACCTTGACATATGCACTTGAACCTAAAATAAAAATTAAAAAAAAATAAAACAACAAAAAAAATATTTTGGCAGCCAAAAAAACTGTATTTCAGTAGTTCTTGGAGCTTTGAAATAGCAGATGGATAACCTAAAGATATTTCAGGTTGGTATTTTCAAAGTGTTTCCCTCCTTGAATGCTATTCCTAAAAGATTTAACTGTGTGTGGAAGTTGGTGGAGAAGAAATTGTTAGTTAAATGTGTTGGTCAGATACAGCTCTGAAAGACCTATGGAGCATAATAACACATTAAAGGCTTAGAGACATTTGTCAAGAAAGAAATCTTTAACATCATGTTTCCAATACATTTGATAATGAATCACTTTTTCTTTTTTAACATGACCTTTAATAACATTCCCAATATCTACCTTAAGTAGAACCCTAATAGTTAGGCTGATGATTGTGATGGTGGTATGGCAGCATCACTTATATTCCTTTTAGTAAACACATATATTTTTGTTCCTTGAACAGTTTCCTGTGCTTGTATCCATGTTCT